CTATGTTAACTAGATGGTGTTTTGGTTAACTTCACATATTTTCGCTCCTTCTTGCAAATGAGAAGTCGCATCTACAACGGCTTAGATCTTTCCTATGAATACCACTGGATCGGGTAGTCCAATAACTCTTCCATGTTAAAACGACATGCAGAAGATTCAGATGAAGAACAAGAATGTCTTCAAGGAACTGCACTAATAAATTTTGTTCCAGACTGGCAGCACCTCCAACTGACGCTCAGGCACGGGTCAGGGATTGTCAACGTTGAAAACTCTTTCTGATGTTATTACCCCGATGACATGAGAGGGAAGGCGATGTCTAAAACTGAGATGACTACTGAATCACCGTAATCACATTCATCGTAAAAGCATTTTACGAATTATCTTAAATAAGTTCGAATATACTTCTTAAATACAGAGTATGATTGTCATAAATCTGATATTTAATGGAGTAAATTAGGTTCTTGATCAGTAAAACTGCATGTTGTTGAGAAGAACAGCACCTGGATCCGGGCTTTGCTTCCGATTCTAACGGAAGCCATGTTTTTGCAATAGTATCCCGTCAGTGGTATTTTTCAGGTATGAAAAAGAGCAACTCTGTTCTATAGAGTAATGAGGCAATTCACGGTTTAGTTCCTCCAAAGGGCCAGCACCAAATTGCTTTAATGGTTCTTTTTAATGGCCTTCCATATTCAGTGAATAGGCAATGTAGTGGTATAAAGTTCCGTTCGAACTTGTCAAAACCCTATATAGTGAAAAATGTTGAAAGTCCTATGTTTTTGTGAAAGGCCTTTTTATTTGATTGGCCAGATTGACTTGCTCTCGGTGACTTTTCCACTATGCTTAGCCATGCTGCGAAAATCACGGTAGCAGCGTCTTAGTCATGAAGTTCACAACGCAAGGGTACAGGGTGTTCCAAGCTTTACATTTAATAATTTGGCATAAGCGGATAACAGCAGGTACAAACGATTGGATATAAAAACAAAGTTGAGGAAAGGTCTTAGCCGGCCAATCGACTGAACGAGGTGTCGAACGTTGCTTCGCAAAGATGTTGTCCGATAGACGTTGTGAGCCGCTCGTCCGGTCGATCACTCGTTGTTCAGCAAATGAAATTTTACGTAGTGACCGATGATGATCTTGCGAAGGTGGTAAGCTTCTCGTTGAAGCTGAAATAATCCTAAATGAAAATGGACACCACGGAAAAGAACAAACGCTCACAGCTCTGTAGAACATGCAGTGCGTTGGGTCTTCGTCCTCTGCCCCCGGACAATCGGGAATGCCGTTGCACAACTTCTCGAATGATATGCACACCCAGCCGCTGTTCAACTGGTCCGGAAACGGCGTTGGACAGTAGAATCGGTAAACGCTGTCGGCACTGCTGCACCTGTCTGAAATTCTGTTCGTTAAACACCCGCAAAATCGCTCTAGGTGGTAGCATAATATCGTTGCAACTTTATGACCAATTTTGCCTGTAAGTGAACGAATGGAAATTCTATTATAAGGCTTCAAAGGACCTCACTGGATTGTCGATCACTTGCTTTCACTTGTATCATGTCTCTAGAAATAAGCAAATAACTCCGAATAATTTGGGGGCCGCAACACGCCCGCCATTCCTTGCTGTTTTGAGCCTTCCTCTCCTGGTTACTGCGTCCAGGCTCCTGGAATAATCTTTTCACCATCGTGATGGGCAACCAAACGGCCCAGTCGACCGTTAGGCGACCATCGCCCATCATCTCCAGTCTATAAGCCAGGCTGCGTGTCTGGCCTACCTCAGCTTATGTATGAGCTATATAATTTTTTGAATTTGATCAGATCTGTTGTATTATAGTATGTTGACAACGAGTCAAGCACGGCTCCAACCTTAACTCCTTCGGTAACTTCGATGATGTAATCAATATGCCGAACATTCCTCTAAAAAACATGAAAATCACGATATTAGCCTCAAGCATCAAAGAACAATGTTCATTTATCAATCGTTCTCTCTGCTGAAAAACTTCTCATTTATGCTGTGGAGCGCCAGTTTAGTCATATGTTATATTGTCGTCCCAGAAAAGAGCACATCAAGAAATCTTTTGCAATCAGTAATGAAGGAAACGTGACCCAATGAACATCACGATGTTTCTTCTGAGAAGCGAACGTTAATTAATTGACAGAAGCTTTGTGCTTGAGACTCACTACTGAATGCGCCAAATATTGAGCTTTTTCAGGAAAATGTTTCATCAGTTTTTAAAGTAGAACCGATTTCAAGGGATCAAGGTGTAACGAGGCATTCTCGAAAGGCGAAG